TGTTCGACCTTTCAGGTGTGACGATAACGCTCAACTGTTGACTTCGATGGATCTTACGACGGAGGTGGAAAAATCCCACATTCTTACGTTCTTCACTCAATGCATCAATCGTCTGAAGGGTTCCGACAAGATGCTTCCTCAGGTATGGGGAGGAAACACGAGAGGGGTTGATGAAAGGGGCACGTTTGTCGAGTGACAGGTCTTCGTTTCTCTGTCAATGTGCCTAATGGTGAATACAGTGATGGTGAGCGACGAGTTTTGGAGTCTTTTCTAATGCGCCAATCCTTCTTCCATTGTGGCGTTTGAATGGGTACTTGGCCCCAAAAACGGCGTAGGAGGGTAAGACGATGTACAAATCAGTGTTTTAATCTTACGGATGGGTTGGATACCAACCAATCGACTATGGAGGAATGTACTGTTTGGTTGATCTGGGGGAGAGTGGGAGAAGATATCGATCCCGAACCAAACGAAGTGTTCGGTGAAATAAGTAAGCAGAGCTATTACGACGATAGGGATTCAAATAGCTCAAGGAGTACCCTATTGACTTGTTGGATTAAGGTGCATTTAATGAAGGAGCTGTGCCTGCGCGGATTTGCCGTTCATCATAGTGGAATACTTCCGATTCTCAAGGAAGTCGTGGAATTGCTCTTTCAGAAAGGATACGTTAAGGTAATTTTTAATCGTATGGGAGATGGTGAGCCGCGGCATTTTGGAGTTTTTCGGGAACTTTTCTAGTTAGCATGGCAGTTTGAAATTATTCTTTGATTAGATTCTGTTTGCGACCGAGACCTTCGCGATGGGTGTGAACATGCCGGCACGAACTGTCGTTTTTGACAGCATTCAGAAGCACGACGGTATGGAACTCAGAACGCTGAATGCTGCGGAATATATCCAGGTAGTTAAACTTTTATGTTGTAATCCAAGCACTTAGGCTACTTTGTTCAACCTCTTTTTCTAGATGGCTGGCAGAGCAGGTCGACGTGGTCTTGACACCACCGGAACTGTCATCGTTCTTTGTAAACAGCCTAAATTGGTCGAACCAGGCCAACTGCAGCTGATTATGATGGTTAGTTCGAAGAGCATTCGAAGGTTTCGAAAAATATCGACTGCATTCTTTCGAAAAAGGGGATGGGAGAGGGTTTTGTAACCTTGCCCAGTATCATGAGAGTTTTCAGATGAAGTTCGATGTGCTCAAGTTAATACATCCGAAGTCGCTGAGTCTGTTTTAGTAGTGTATGTGGTGTATGTCACAGCTCTGAGAGCTGCAACCTTCCCACTTTGCCTTTGACTTCCTATTCAGCCCTCGTCTTTCAGGGAAAAGCAGCTCCACTTGTTTCACAGTTCCGTGTGACGTACTCCATGTTGTTGAATTTGTTACGAGTTGAGCATTTACGGGTGGAAGATATGCTTCAGAGATCGTTCGTAGAAAGTGCATCGCTTCGAGAAGGACCGAAAAGGAAAAGCAACCTTGAAAAGGTACATTCAGCGCTATTTAAGCTCAATTATTGAACTTGAGTCAGGATTCACTCTCCCAGACCGTTTCAACTTTTTTGAGAACCTATTCATGGTTTCCGATCACCTTACATATCTTGGGCCGTACGTATACGCTGTAGCTTGGTTTGCACACAGAGGTACTACGGTAAGTTGACTGGAACCGGCCCCTTCCATTGGTACGGCCCAGTCCAGTCCTCTTCCATCTTTGTAGTCANGGATGGATCATCATAAATTTAGACCCGGTGAAAACTTTGTCTTCTGATTTTTGTTTTCAATAATCCAGTACCTGAATATGGTCTAATATCTGGGTAGGGTGAGGATGACCACAAAGGCTGAAGCCTCAAATTATAGCCCAGTCCCCCCTATAGTTGTAGAGTTCCGCCCCTCGAACCATATTCGGTCCTGTGAAGGTGTGATAAACATTGTAAACATTTTTAGGCTCAGAAAGAGTTATCTGCATTGCCTAAGATCGAGTGTCAGATGTGTGACCCAGGGGAGGCAAAAGTTAGTCCACTCAGACAGTACCACGACGTACTAGTGAATTTCATCGAGAGGAAGTCCGAGCTATGGCAGCGATTAGCTTGTAAGCGTCCCTTTTACTTTTTCCGCGATTGATTTTTCACAGCTTAGTTAAACTTTTCTTCATTTTCGAAACAAAAACTTGTACTGACTGACGTTTTGCAGCTGAATTAACCATGGATAAACGCCTCAAGTGTGGACGAGTTTTGCTGGTATCGAGCGCCCAGCATAATCTCCAAAATCAGTTGGTGTTACTTGTGAAGGTCAAAAATCTTTTAAGTAAAAATTAAAGGATGATAATGAGCGTTGAGATGTTTCAGGAAATGCAAGGAGATGGAAAACGAGCATTCCAAGTGATGGTACCCTGTTGGGAGCAGGATTCGAATGTTGACGAACAGAAACGGAAAGCAGACGAATTTCTGCGTCTTCCGAAAGAGGTTGGTTTTCAAGTTCCTGCTTGCTCGCCTCAGCGCCTTGACATTAACTCTCCATCGTTGTTTGTAGGAGCAAGACTGGCTGGAAGAGTCATGCGTCCTTGAAGGTTCAACTCGGTGGGGTATTGAAGCAGTGGCACCTTTGAGTCCGAGTGGGCAGAATGGACAACGATCATTTCGCATGGTCAACGACTTATCTCCGAAGACACTGATCGGCGTTAGCAAGAAGTTGCTGAAGATTGATGTCGCCGATGTGCTGAACGAGGCGAAGACCAGGGAAATACCTCGACTGAGGTAATCATTTTTGGCTGCGCTTCACAGAGATGTTGTGCTCGTTCTTTTTCCCATTTTTTTCTTCCATTTACATTTCATTAATCGCAAATTTTCTGCCACCTAACTGACAAAGTTGCTATTAATTCGGATGGAATGGGAAGGGAACGAAATTACTGATGTGTTGGTCTAGGCAGGCGATTAATCAAATATCCTGGATGCGTATAGTCGCCTCGCGTTCTACCTGTCCAATTACCAGTTCCCTAATGTTTTGACTGAATCTTGAAATAGGAAGGTAAGCAGAAACAGAAGACTTTGAAATAAGATGAATTATCGTTTTTAAGGAAACCTCCAAGTGGTGGGTGATGTTAGGTAACAATTGGAAAAGACTGTTTCTAAAGTGACCGGGTACGATAAGTCGAAGTGACTTGTTATTATTACTAGGGTGTATGGCTGAATTGTTATGAAAGGTTCAATTCAGCGGAAAAAGTGGACTAACCCTAACAATATGACTGGTTATCCACATTGTGTACGATGTAAGCGCGCGGTCGCGCAGCGGACTGCATTTTGCAATGTGATTCAATCAGTTATCTAATGACATACTTTATTGTAGTATAACCCAAATTGGAACGTATTGCAGTTGCATCTCATAAAGCTTACATGGACACGTGTCAGTGAGAGATATAACATTCTTGACGAGGTATTTCTGAGGTGATATGGAGTCGGTGTCAGTTGCAAAGTTGTGCGGCCATTCCATATTTGTTAAGCAGCTGGATGTGATCCAGCCCGATGGCGTAATTATCTTGCAGTTCGTCGGCTACGAAGTGAATCTAAATAATTGTGAATTTGTAATGTGATTGAAAGGGTAAAGGAAGCAGCATGTTCGGGCTATGTCAACCCAGCCCGATCTGGTTAAGAGTTATTAGTGATGGACCTGTCCGAGTGTTCAGAAGAGTAAATTTACCTTTTTAATACCCAGCTCAAGTAGAAATGGTTCCCAAGATTGCTCATTGGGACGATTCTGTTGGCCCTGAGGATGCCACATGTTTATTAACAGTTCTTTAAATTGACAAGGGTGCCTAGAAGTATTGCGAATTGGACCTCATTTGGGTAATGCCCAGTTTCACACTCCTCATTGTCAGTAGATTTGATCCAGATTCGGATGTTCGGCTTGTCCCTAAGGCTCAAGAGTGTTGAGCTTGACTAATACTGTGAGGGCTATGCTAGAGCGCAAAGTCAAAGAAGAAGTGCTACTAACCTTAACAAAGTAACCGGTCATCCGTATTATGTGCGATGTGAGCACGCGGTCGCGCAACGGATTCCGGAGAACTTTGTAGCGCCAGCTTTATTCAGGGATTCGGTGGAGGGAGGGCGGGCGGAGGGGGGAGGAGGAGGAGGGGGGAAGGGGGGATGCTCTAGACGACATTTCCTGACGATAGGCCTCGATATAAACTCACCGCATGTGTAGATGTCGATAACGGAACATGATAGTTCTTCCACTTTCGGGCCTTATTGTCTATGGTGCTTCCTTTAATGTTGAGTGCACAGTTGCTCACAGTATTGAGGCACACCTGTAGGCGCCCTTTTATACCTGGATTGATGAGTTTTTTACCTCTGAATCATCCTACAAAATAGGAACCTGCTACCTGCTTGATAGACAAAGAAGTCAAGACGAGCAGGTTCCTTCAGCTCCACGGGAACCTTAGAGGATAGGATGAATGTGTCTTCAGGAGAGACGGTTGTACCACCGGCGTAGATGAATGTGCCTGCTGAAAAGGATTTTTCAGCTGGTAAAAGTTTGTAGGTGATAGTTGCACTGACTTTTAGTTAGGTCATGAGGTACTCCGGTGAGCGAGTTCAGAACGGCCCCCGAAGAAATCGACCATTCCCGAAGAGATGCATTCACTTGGTCCTGTTCGCTGATACTGGTCACATAGTTGCAGTACGTCTGGGAAATAGGTTTTAGAGAGGGAGTATTTTTAAATGAATTTATCCAGTTAAATTTTCACAATGAAGCTTGATTTAATGGGGGTTATAGCTAAGAGAAACGAAAATTCAGCAGTCGACTCTTAGAGTAATGGGGTGGGTAAGCTAGGGGTTAAAGTAAGAGCCGAGTGCCCGTACTGAATTTTCGTCCCTGTTTATAGCATAGCGATTCGGAGAACGGAAGAAACCGTCAAGGTTTTTTATGGGATGGTAGACTATTCGTGTTCAATGTTAAGAACGTGTGTCATGGCGATGTACTTTGCATTATGGTTTTAGGTCGGGAACAGCCCATGACTTTGTGGATCAGAATTCAACGGAGTGCCATTATTTGAAGTAATCAACTTCATAGACGTGTGGGTGACCATGTTCTCAATCTCCCATGCAGGGAAAAAAA